AGCAGACATTTGGCCAACTCGCCGAAATGTTCAGGGAACATTTCCACGAGTTGTTTAATTTTGGCGATCGATTTTGACGATTTTAACGATTTGTTTCTGTTTCAGACTATGAACTGAGAATTGAATGAGGTTAAAGTGAAATTAACTAAGTGACATTACGTGACACTAACTGACATTAAGTGAACTGAAATAAAAGTCTAATGTCGTCTTGAGAGTACGACAATTCCGACGAAGATTCGGACGATGTCGAAGACCTCAATGAAGAGGTCCAAGACGTCGATGAAGAGGTGGAAGACGTCGATGTAGAGGTGGAAGATATCGGAATGGAAGATGGTAACGTTGCGAGTGAATGCAATGAAGTGGAGGGTGACCTGTTTGTGAATAGCGAAACAGGGCCGGTCACCGCGCCGCAACTTAGCTGGCCCTGGTTAGTACAACGGTTTCGCGACACGCCTGAAGTTGTTGAGCAATTCAGAGGGAATGTGTGTATGAAGGGTTAGTTACAATACAAAAAAGTCTGTTATTAAAAATTATAAAAAAGCTGAATTAATTTTAACCAACAGGACGGGCGTGGTTACTGGCGGTGACGAGATTTTGTGCACAAACTCCCGTCGCTGAATGGGAGAAAACAATAGGTTTGTTCGGAAACAGTTGTGCGAAAGTATTCTTCCAAACATCAAGAGGTATTCAACAAGAAGATGTGCGCCTGACCGCCAAAGGTCAAGAGTCCCAGGCCCATATAAAGCGGATGTTTGCCGAGCCGTCAAGAAGCTTTACGAGACATCATCTGCAAGCTCTGATTATGTTCCTAATGGAAAGATTAGCTGGTTAGTTTTTGGAAATATTGTTTTAACTTTAAAAAAATATAAATAAGAATTACCTTTGCTTAGATCGAAAAAATAATTCGACATCTTTCGCTACTGGAAATCCTATATTTCAATATATTTACAAAATTTACGAAGAGAAATTCCCTGCCGAAGCAAAATTATGGCAAGGGACCACAATCCAAGTCCCTAGAGAATTCTGTTTAGAGTTTAAAGGGTCGGAAAATGCGATGCATGGGAGGGTAGAAAAAGGCGAGCGCTACTGTCCGTACCTTTGGGCAAAGGAAGATTCGCAATTACAAGATGGTAAATCTTAACGAAAGTTAATGTAAGAATTAAGAACCTAACCTGTTTTGGTTCTTACAGAATTGATGAGTGCGAGTGAAATTAACGCCCGCGCCGCACTCTACACCGACAACCCCGACGCGTTTAATCTCGATGCGGAAGTATACCGCAGGAACGCCTTCGATAGGCAATACAAAAGACTTTCGATTACGGTAGCTGAAAATGAAAGGAAATTGAAGAAACAAAAGCAAGAGAAAGCGGCATGGAAGGCTTTCTGCGAGGAGTCTAAGAAGGAAGTGCAGGTGCGCAGCTTCTTTCACTGCCTCGTTGGTATAGCCCTCGAAGGATACGTGAGTAAAATTGGAGCCGCAGACCTGGATGTTGCGTCGATTGAAGTTCAGGATCGAATACTAGCTACGCTCTGTAAGAAACTGAAGGTGGACAAACCTACCGAGAACAGGAGGTTAATATGCGACGCTAGTAATCGATGGAATTACAACTCTGGTGATGTCTACGCAAGGTAGTAATTTAAAAAAAAAATAAATAAAATTTGATTTTAATACAGAATTTTTACTCAGGAATTTGCCGCCTGTACGTGAAGATACACGTCTACAAAGAGAGGAGGTAGACGAGATGGTCGACGAGGGGGGCGACGAAGCTCCAATTCAGCCCAGGAAGAAGAAGTTGAAGAAAGTAAAACAATCGGGTCACTCTAGCCCGAAGGTGTACCTCCCCAAAGACCAGCCCCCTGTAGTGAGGGAGGAGATGGATAGAGGTGAGTCGAGCCTAGGATTTCCAAAGCCCGGCCCGCCCAAGCCCGACTCAAAAGCCCGACTCAAAAGCCCGACCCGGCTCTACTCAAAGCCCAACTCGAAAGCCCAGGCCCAGGCCCGCCCAAGTTCAGATCTCAAAAGCCCGACCCGGCCCAAGCCCAATGGGCTTTTTGTTGAGAAAGCCCGCCCAGGCCCAAGCCCAACGGGCTTTGAGCCCAGGCCCGTTGGGCTTAGTCGAGCTTCTGGATAGCGTAACAAATTATACAATGCAAATTCAATTGGGGCGCCCTAAGCCATACTTAACGAAACAAATTAATTGAAAAATCACAAAAATATTTAGTCAATAATATTTAATCGTTTACGGTTTCACTAAATTATTACAATCACGCAACAGATGGCAAAATTTATGTTAATGTATAGGATTCAACAAAAAAATAAGTCATAGTTTTTATGAACGAATGTAAGGTTGGATAAAGTGCTGCCGCTGAGTTCGGTGCGACGGGCGGTCAAGGTCAATCCCGTGCTTGAAAATACTCTCTCATCGCTAGCCTGTGAAGCGGGGATGGATAATATCCTTTGAGCAACTTTCCGCAATAATGGAAATTGTGTGGCGCCACACCAAAATTCCAGGACATCCGGACCTTCATCATCAAAATCTATGAATAACGCAAAGAATAATTACAACGGAGGGCATTTAATATAAATTCAAATATTAAACTCAGTCTAACGCATACCATCAAATTTCTTTTTCATTCCAAGATAGGAGTCAAACTCTTTCTTAACAACCACTTCCGGGTCGTCAGCTTCTTCCTCATCCCACGAGTCCTCGAACTCTGCAAATTTTCCCTTTTTAGCAATGGGCGGACCCCTGGGAACGAAATTTCTAACAGAATCGCAACTATCTTTCCCAGCAGTCCCTGCAAACGATAGCATCAGAGCCTTCGTCCTGTCGTAAGCGTCTTTCCGTTCTTCGTCGATGGCACCCTTGAGTGATTTAAACCTAAAACTCAAACAATTATAATTGGAATAAACTTGGTACAATTAAAATTTTAGGGCGCCCTGCAAAGGAATAAAAATAATTATTTTAATTCACACCTTGGGTTGAATAGATACGCACTCCATAGAAAACTATCTATCTTCATATATTCTTGCAAGCAAGTTAAGCCCTGTTGTTTTAGCAGCCGTATTTCTGCAGAGTCGCTTTCCTCTTGTTGGAGATGTCGGCGTAATGTCAAAAACCACGGAGCGACGAGATGTATAGTGGGATATTTATCTCCACTTAGACTGGTGGAGCACTCCAAAAATGGCTTCAGCAAATTCACAAGTTCTTGCACAATGCTAATTTCAATATTGGAAATCTTCTGAAGCTTGCCATTGTCAATTAATATTTGCTGAACTTCGTGAGCAGATTTCAGATACGATTCCAACATTATTATCTCACTATTCCATCTTGTTTAAACATCTTGCTTCAATGAATAAGGCAGTTTAGAGTTTAATCCTGCTCTTTTGAAGTATCCAACAACATCTTTTACTCCATGTAGGGCGCCCTTAATTTTTGGACATTGTGTCGAGAGAGCGAAGAGTTTTTTCGCACAGTTGGGCTTTCCTCTTTCAGTGTCGACCCCGGCTTTAGTATCGTTGAACAACCAGTGAATTGCTAGATTAAGTTTGTGACATTGACATGCCAAACGATTTTCAAACACTTTTTGCATATTGGAGCCACCATCTGTCACCATCCAGGAATTTGTCATTATGAAGGAGACGTTATCGATGTCAAAAAAACTTCTTTCGCAAACTTCTTTCGGAATTCTTGCGCACTCTTCTCGAATATTATCAGCAGTCTTCCGTTGGTCTGGAAATTCGTCTACTGCTAGCAAATGATGCGCAAGTTTCCAGTCGGCATTAATGTAATGAATTGTCAGCGACAAAAAATGCCTTTGTGTGTATTTATCCGACCACATATCAGTGGTAAAAGCAAAAGCTGGATTTTGCGGCGCCGCATCAAGGTAGGATTTAATTTTCGACTTAATCTGCTCAACTACTCGAGGAAGGTTTTCTTTTTTCAAAGTCGTCCGATGTCGAATTATGTCGTTAACATCATGGCGTCCAAATTTGGCTCCAAAATCAATTAAACTTTGTGCAATGTGTTTAAATCCCACTCGTTCTGTTGTACCTAAGGGTCGAAGGTCTCTGGCCAGTCCAACCAAAATTGAATCGTTAAGGTCTTGTAGTTGTGAGTTGGGAATTTGCTTCACCAAAAATTTAGCAAGACTTCCGCTATCATTCGTATTGACCTTTATGTTTTTAGGAGTAGAAGTAGTCGCGGCGCCGCAGACATGTCCATGTCGTTGAAGAGTACTTGTTCCTGAAAGAGCTTGATGCTTTAATATTGTGCAACATTTGAGACACTTTACGTAATTAACAATAGAACCGTCGACGTAGATAACTTTAAATGATGACCACACAGCTGAAGGGGCTTTTGATCTCGATTCTTTTTCCTTCACCTCAACTCTTGAACTGTTTTGGGAGATAAGTCTTTGAATATCTTCTTTCGATAAATGCGCGGCATTGCCATTATTGGCTTCCTGGCCGCTGGCATTTTGGCTACCATCGGTGGTGCTGTCGTCTTCTTGGTCGCTGTCTTCTATATGCTCTACCCTGTCCATCTCTGCAGTCATTAAAAAGCGTTAATGATTGCTAATTTTAGTAATTTTTATAACAATGAGGCGCCCCAATATACTTACCGCTCAGTGATTATCTGGGCCAGCCACTATTCCGAAAGAAAAAAGTCAGCACTGAGCAATAATATTGCTTAAAAGCTAATTCTTGAATTGTTCTCAAAGAAATCTCGCGAGTCCCGACAGTTGGAATGATTGTGACGAAGTGAGCGCATAATTACATTTTCCGCGTAAATGCCGGGGAATCATTGGATTAATTTAATTGTACCTGGAGAAACAACACATGCTATAAATGATGTTATGCACAATTTTTGTAATCTTCCCGTCTTTTATTTCTACATTTAAGTACAATCAAATTATTAAATTACAGTATTTAATATCATCTTAACAATTATTATTGAAACGTTTATAAGTTTAAGGAATTAGTGGGGCGCCCCAATCTAAAAGAACAACTTTATCTTTCCTTCCAGGGACCCTTTACAAAATGCGCATTCTTTAGGCAATGACACATAATTGAACACTTGAAACTCTCCAGTACTTTCGTCCACCCAAGGGATTCCTTCTGTAGTTCTGCTACTTTCAAGGCTGGAAATGCATTCTGTGCAGTACATGTGGCCACATTTTAAAGCCCACTCTTTGTCCCCGTCCTCGCAGAGCGTACACAAAACCTAAATTCAAACAAATTTGTAGACAAAACGAAAATTTGAGAAGTTAGAAAGTTTTCGATAAGCTATTGTCACTTTTTTAATTTCCTCCATGATTGGTCTGCAGCGCTGTGCAATTTCCTCCTTTAATGCGACGGACGTCAATTCAGCAGCCTTTTCTTTGACCCTGTCGCCCAGCCGTTGCTCCTGGATTTGCAGTCGCTTAATAAGTTTAAGGAGAATGTGAACGTCCTCCTCACGACAAATGTTTTGCAAATTTCTGCTCTCCCTAATAGCAACTCCTAAACTTTTACGAATTTTCTCGTGGAGGTCTTTGACTGATTCGAGAACTTGGATGTTGATGGGGCGCCCCAGCAGAACTCGAACATTTTTCATTAACTCATCGTACATGGAATTCTTCTGCCAGAAAACAGAAGCTGAGGCTTTGGCATTGGCACATCTCAAAGTCAACTTATTGGAATAGTCAAAAACATCTTGTCGAATTTTCTGGAAATCCTCATATTTGTATCGCAGAGTTTCTTTTTCTTCGCTTGAATTAAAGCTGCCTTCTTGTCGCTAAACAAAATTAAAGTATGTGTATTTATTATACAATGTCATAAGTTGTGAAGAAATCCAACTTAAGTTATGAATAAATACAAACAGATTTACATATGCAACTCACCCTTTTACAATAATATCCCAAATCCTGATCATTCTTTCTGTATAAAATTATCTCCATGTTGAGGTCGTGATGTTTATGCCATAAATCAGCGATTTCGGCAATACTCAGACTCGGTAACCCCAACGTTTCCACTTTCACCATCATTTCATGGTAAAACGATGTGCTGGAATTCAAGCATCATTCAAGAACTGATATCTTTAAAATTAACCAAATTTTGAAGTTAGTGGGGCGCCCCAGAAATCTAAAATTATTGTGCTGTTAAGAAATATATCTTACGGGAAAATAGATGATAATCCACACTTTATCAACTGCTTTTTTCATCTCGCTTGATCCTGCAGCCTGACCTTCTTTGTATATTCGCTTACACAATCGGCTGATTTTATATTCTTCGTCCCTCGACACTTTAGCTGTGCAAGCCTGACGGTGGTGGCCAATTTTGGCACAGCGATAACAACAATCAGTTTCCATTTTAAAATTATAGTGGAAATATTTTTAAGTGGAAATCCTGGAGGAATACAATGTGGACTGAGAATTGAAAGAATGAACTGCAAAATACAAATGACCCGCTTTCGAACAAATTTGATGACTGTCTCATATCACTCCAGTAAAGAAATATGAGTCGGGCTTTTTCGGGCCGAGAGTAAAGCCCGAGCCCAACTCATAAGTAAAGCCCGCCCAAGCCCAGCCCGACTGAAAAGCCCAACTCAAAAGCCCGGCCCGCCCAAGCCCGACTCAAAATCCGAGCTCAAAGCTCGGCCCGCCCAAGCCCGACTCAAAAGTCTAACTCAAAAGCCCGGCCCGCCCAAAGCCCGTTGGTCCTGGGCGGTCCCGGGCTAGCCCGAAAAAAGCCCAGGCTCGACTCACCTCTAGACATGGAGGACCCAGATGTTCCTATGCAATGTAAAAAGAAGAAGGCCAAAAAGTTGGGCGATAAATTGGAAACACTCACTGTGCCTGCAGCTCAAAAAACGCCGGCAGCACAACCAGCAGTGCCAACGGTGCCAACGGTGCCAACAGGCCACCAGCCACGAGCCCTGCAGTGCCCCCACTAAAAGTCAACAAGAGGCAACCCAGAGCTCCAACGAAACCAGCCGATATAAACAAATTAATAGATATAGCTCTCAAGCAGAAGTCTGCTGCTGCTGAAGGCCCGGGTGTTCCTCGACCGGGGGAAGAACGAGGGAAAGCTCTATCCATCAGGAGATGTTCGGAGCGAACATCCATGAAAAGAACGGATATCCGCCCGGGGAATCCCCCAAGTAAGAAGCCTCATTTGGATCCAGGAACTGCGAAGACTTCTACCACCGGAAGAGCGACGAGAACAGAAAAGGAACGGGATCCGTTTTCTGGCATCGATTTTTAGTAGTTTTAGTTCGTTTAATTAATGATTTTTAGTAGTTTTAGTTCCTTTAATTAAAAAACCGTTTCAATCTATTATAAATGTAATTGTTTTCATTAGTCAACTCGTGTAGAAAAAATTTAAAAAAATTAAAAAATTAAAAAAAAATGGGGGTATACGCACTTCACGTCCTCGCTCGTTACCCCTGGAAACGATGCGTTCCATTAACGCATCGGCTAAGAAAGTGCACAAAAAACATCTTGTTTCGGGTTTTCCCCCAACAAGTTTTATGTTTAACCTAATTATTTTATTTATAATTCTGCAGTGTTTTAACATAAAGTTTTAATTGCTTACAGTAATGGAGCCGGAGGAGGAAATAAGTGTTGTAGGAGTATCTGAAACATATTCTGAAGTACACATGAACTGTAAGCTTTTCATTCCTGAAATTCAATTATGTGAAACAAAATTAACATTTATGTAACGTAGCTCATCCAGATCCAATTGTTAAGACTGCTTCGCTCAACAGCGTCCCCTCTCCGCTTGTGTCGTATAAGTTACGTCTTCCAGCAAGTGTTTCTCACGGAAAACTATCCTCAATACAGTTGGATGCAATAGAACACGCCTGCCAGCAGCACGAGTATATGCTTAGTAGCGGTGGAAGAACTGGTTTTCTGATAGGTAAGTTGATTCATGTTTTTTTTGTTAAAGTTTTCTAATATTTTATAAAATAGGTGATGGGGCAGGCGTTGGAAAGGGAAGAACAATAGCTGGCTTGATTTATGAAAATTGGCGGTGTGGGAGACGCAAGGCTCTCTGGCTATCTGTTTCCCCAGACTTAATAGAAGACTCCAAGAGAGATTTGGCCGACATTGGCGCTCGGGAAATTAAAATTTCTAATTTAACGTCAATCAAATGTGGCGAGAAAGTAAAATACCCGGAAGGTGTCATGTTTTTGACATATTCGAGTCTGATTGGGCAAGGAAGGGTTCCCGGGAAAGGGCTTGCAACAAGGATAGACCAGATTATAGCTTGGGTAGGAAAATATTTCGAAGGACTGGTAAGAAAATTCTTGGTACTGGGAAAGTTCGTTATTCGTTTAAACCTAAAGGTTTAATTGAGTATGAAAAATCAGATTTTATTTGACGAGTGTCATCAAGCGAAAAACCTTTGCCCGGGAAAACATTCAAGATGTAGCAAAACCGGAAGTGCCGTTGAAGCTTTGCAAAACGTATTATTAAAAGCCCGGGTTGTATATGCCTCTGCAACTGGAGCATCTGAGCCAAGGAATATGGCATATATGACTCGGTTAGGAATTTGGGGTAAAGGAACCCCCTTGGGCAATTCTCCGACTTTACCACCGCTGTAGAAAATAGGTAAGGTAAACTTTGTGCTTTATTTAATTCTATCCAAAATTCGAAGATTTTTTTTCTCAAGGGGCATAGTCGCAATGGAAATGGTTGCCATGGATATGAAGCTTCGAGGTGCCTATATTGCACGCCAGTTGAGTTTCAACGGAGTAGATTTTAGAATTGAAAAGATACCCAAGAATTTTCCGAAATGTACAATGGAGCGGTAGAAGAGGTAGGTTTGCAGTCAAGTACACATTTTGCTCCAAGTCAAATATATCATTTTCATTGTTGCAGTGGGTCTTCTGTAAGGAGAAATTTGAAGAGGCAATAAAATTGATGGGTGTTAATGGGGACAAGGTATGAGCCCAATTCTGGGGATCCCATCAGAGATTCTTCAAGTACTTATGCATTGCAGCCAGGGCGGATCGATTGATTGAAATTTCAAAGCAAGTTTTTTTTAAACAAAAAAGTTTCAGGCACACTTAGCAACCAAGTAATGCATTTTCTATGAGTAGGAAGGCGGTTCAAGATGGGAAATGCGTCGTAATAGGAATACAGTCGACTGGGGAGGCCATAACTGAGGAAGAGGTTGAGAAGAAAGGACAAGTGCTAGATTTCGTTTCTATTACAAAGTAAAATCTTATTGTGTATAATTCGTCTTGAGTATTTGGGATAATTCTTTGGGATAATTCTTTCAGATGTACTCTACTGAGCCTTATAAGGAATCATTGCCCTTCTCCCACCCAGAAAGAAATACGATTGTTGCGAAATGATAAGGCTCGTAGCGGAACTAGACCTGCGCCACCAAAGAGGGCACGACTAGATGACGCTTTACTCAAAACTGGTGTGAGCTACGAATCCTTATGTAAAGCCACCAATATCCGATGTCGCCTATTGAAACGTATTGAGGATAGTATGAATGATCTCCCCAAAAATACTCTCGATTATCTAATATATAAATTCGGGGCTCCATCGAAAGTGGCAGAGGTGAGTACACAAATCATGGTGTTAAAATTATAAGTATAGCTTTGTCTTGGTTTTAGATGACAGGGCGAAAAAAAACGATTGATTAAGACGGGCGGCAAGGTTATAAATCAAAAACGAGACGACGGAGTCAGGGGGAATTTAGAAGCTACTAGCATTCGTGGTAAGAAACACCGCGTTATAAATGCGTTATAAAGGAAAAATTTGTAGATCTCGGCGAGTTTACAGAGAGGCGTTTATTTATGGAAGGGAAAAAGTTCATAATATCCGAAGCAGCTTCCTGTGGGATTTCGTTGCACAGTGATCGCAGAGTAGTCAACAAGAGACGAAGGGTTCACATAACACTGGAGCTACCCTGGAGCGCAGAATCGGCAATCCAGCAGTTTGGTCGGACTCATAGAAGTAATCAAATTAATGCCCCAGAGTATGTTCTTCTAGCATCTGAGTTGGCTGGAGAACATCGGTTCACATCTCTAGTAGCGAAGAGACTAGAAAGTCTGGTATGACAAAAAAACATATTTAAAGTTTCGGTTAAACAAGTGTCTTAAAAGTTGTTTGTTGTTTGTAGGGTGCTCTCACACATGGTGATCGTCGTGCAAATGATCGAGACCTTAGCCATTTTCATATTGACAACACTTACGGACAGGCGGCGTTAAAAAATGTTATGGGCTACATAACCGGGGAGCATGTGGATTGTGAACCCGTTTTTGAAATCCCCAATTTCCGGAATGATGTCACACGTAGCTTGACCGGAGCTGGGCTAATAAGCCCCAACGGCACCATGAACATTGCGTCATTGACTATAAGCAAGTTCCTCAACAGGTCAGTGAATGTTATAAATTTGTGTGAAAATTTTAAAACGTGCTCACCTACTGTCCCACAGGATTATGGGCACCAACTTAGCAATCCAGAAATCTCTATTTCGCTACTTTACCGATAGTTTGGAAACACTAGTTTCCAGAGCAAAGTCGGAGGGGACATTTGACAGAGGAATATTGGGTAAGGGTCCCAGAACGAATAGAAACTCAAATCTGTTATAAGTAAGCTAAATAAATATGTTTGTAGACCTGGGTGTATCCAGCGCTGAACATACTCGCCATACTGGTACAAAATTGTTTGAAAGGCAGCACGCAACTGGAATTGCGAAGGTGAACTAGTCGAACTAGTTGTTGAGCGTGGAATGAGTTGGAAATTGGTACAAAATAGATACGATGCAGCCGTGGAAAGTGAAAAAAATTGTGGCTACTACACCACAGTAAGAATTGGCTTTAATTAGATATATATGCAATAAACATTAATATAAATGTATCACCAACAGGATACGGAGCGGAAACTTATCGTGTTAGTAGCAGCAACAACTGATTTCGTAAAAGCTGGTAACAATACAAAACTTCCGAAGTAACGAGACGTAGGCTGTACAATGTATTCCATCCATATTGTGGGTTGGACGTAAGTATTACTGGTCCATTTTTCAAGTAAACAAGTACCTAAAAGATATATTCTTCATCCACCACCAGGCTCACAGGAAGACTATGTCCGAAGTTAAGAAACTGTATAGTATTCTTACGACTAGCGTAAAAGCTAAAACAATTTGGAACAGCCAGTACACTAATTCCGCAGATAAGTGCATACACGTGTTCCAATCGCAAAGGTAGGACACAAGAATTGATTTAGTATTTCAAAAACATTCCTGATGATATTCTTTGTTCCAACAGATCAAAATCCTGCAACGGCTTTTGCCAAGTAGGGAAAAGTTTACAGAGAATAAAAGTCTTATGCGGGTCAGTTCTGCTGTGCTGGTCTGAAATTGAATCGGTGCTCAGATCTCAAAAGGTCCAAGTAATAAGAGCAAAATGTGTTAATGGTGAAAAACTCGTAGGTGTTATTATACCTCTAATTTGCGCTCAAGAGTTGGAAGAACGTTTGAATAGCCCAACCTAGTCATTTTGTAGAATTTTAAATGTGATGTAATTCAACGAATCCAAATGGTGATCAAATGGATCAAGTAAAGGTTTTTAATACCTAACCCGAAACCTCCGCTGTTTGGTTAGGTTGTTTTCCCTGTACTACTCGTTTCGTTCCGATAATATTAACTTGCTATGTTAAATCTGAGGTATTGTTTTTAAAATGAAATGTAATGAAAAAAAAAATGGGGTATAAGTTGTGCAATTCACGTCCTCGTTCGTTACCCCTGGAAACGATGCGCTTTTGTAGCGCATCGGCTAAGAAATTGCACACATAAAATATCAATAAGATTTGGAATAAATTTTGAGGTTTAAATACCGTTTGGCCAGATTCGCAAAAACTAGCGTTCTTCTTTCCGTGTTGACCTTACGATAACGTGGTCACCGTCGTGTTGCCTCTCGAGGAGAACACTAGAGCGCGATCCCTGCTTTCTAGGGTTTGTAGTTTGTTGGAAAATGGAAGCTGGAATTGGAAATACAAGTTTGGATTCGTGGTATTTCAAAAAATACTTGGTACTTGGCCACTGGGTGAGTTGGCAACAATCTGTAGTAGGTATGAAAACCTTCTTTCATTCTCAGGATGAAAATAATTTTGTGGACCAGAGGTGTATGAGATGAGGCAACCTGTGCGCTCATCTTGACCTCAAGCTAGAAAGAGAGCGTCACCAACGCCCACACGCGATTTTGGCAGACTAGACAGACAGAGGGAATAGATCTATCAAAGTATAAACACAAACCACGCGTTGAATAGGCCGCGTCTGAAATTTTTTGCTAAACGAATTTACTGAGACACGTCAGAATGGGCTTTTAGAGTACGGCTTGAGGTTTAAATATCGTTTGGCCAGAACCGGAATGGCTGGTGTCTTTATCCTATCTTATTTTTCCCCGTGCGATAAAAGACCCTTGGAGCACATGAGAGAGATAGGGTTACTCATAATAATGAGTCAGTCAGTATAGCATTAGCCAAATTGTCCAGTGCTATGCAGGTAAGCAATCTCTGTTTTCCAACTAAGTATTCACGGTAGAGATAGGAAGTTGGAAGCTGGAAATAGAAGATTATGAAAAAAGAATTTGGCAAGTTGGAATTTGGAAGTTGGAATTTGGAAGTTGGAATTTGGAAGGTGGAAGCTGGAAGCTGGAAAAGAGGAGATAGGTTTGTCATATTTTGAAAATGGGCTCGCTTAAGTCAGTTGGTTCCGAACTATAATTGCTATTGTGTAGATTATGAGTGAATCATAACCTAGGCAATAGCAATGTCCTCTAGTGCGGTCTAGAGTTGGTTCAATCGAAGCCCGGGTAGCGCAAAAAACTGACTTGTATGTGCAATCCGCGTCCTTGTCGCAAACATACAAATAATCTTGATTTGAAGTAGATTGGTTGAACAATCTAGTTTGAATTATCGATTAAAGTGATTGTTATTAGGTTATGCTTGTAACTAAGGTTGTGCTATCAGCATATAGTCAACGTTGGGTCATTAGACAAAGGATTTAAATAATGACTGGACATTATTATTACAATGCCTATTTTTTTTTACAGAGAGCAGCATAAGGTTAGAGTCTGAAATAATTGACCAGGTAAAAATGATTTTTAATTTTATTAACAAGACCTTTATTGAAATTAAGAGATACAATAATACTTGTAGCAATCTGACAAAATTTATTTGAGTTCTCTAGGTATCCGGCGAGGTTCAACCTGAAAGTAATACCTTCAATAACTTTCTCAAAACTCCTGAATTTCGGCCGGAGGACTACGTTAGGTATTTAAAGAAGATCAGGGCACGAACAGTAAAGTCTACAAAGAAAAGCAAAAGACATAGAAAAACTAATCGCAATAGGGTACCATATCAGATGAGCCGACAAGTCCAGGTCGAATAATCAAGTAGTGGGTTTTAATACGGAAACCACTGTGGACACTACAGGCGTGGAGTTTGCCTCTATGGGAACCGTAAGTTCTGCACTATATAGTGATGCATGCAACAATCAGACGTTCTAATAATTTTGTGCAATGTTTGATTACAGTCTATCGCGTTTAAGACGCTGAAAGAACAGGAGACCCAAATCAAAGTCGACCCGGAAGACAAGTACGTCGTGGTGTTTTTCACCAACGAAACTCGTTATAGAGTGAGGTTCACTCAGGTGACGCAAGCCAAGATGTACTATGAACAAGTTATCCAGGGCATTCTAAATGTGTAAGCCTCGTAGTTGAATGCGGTGAAGTATGATTTTTTAACGTTGAGTTTAAACTTTAGGTCCGGATCATCAGCAACGTCTTCATTAGGCTCATCGGGCTCTGACAGATCACTGAGAAGTTCAAGTGATTCCAGCTGGGGGGAGGAAGAGTCTGACACCGATATGGAGGAGGTACCAGCAGACAACGAAAAGGTAATTATAAGTGGACCACATTACACCTTGGGACTTATATAATAATATAATTTGGATTCAGATTATTAAGCGACAATTGAAGAAGTCGCTTAGTTCAGACAGTGGGGCCGCTGATTCTGACTCTGGAGTGGAGAGGGATTCAAACAAACGTTGACGGAAGGAGAATATTTGTTTAGTTTGCTTAGCTTTAAACCATTAAATTACATTTATAGAATTCAATTCATTGTTTAAAACGACTAAGTCAATAAAATTACTAAATCTTAGTAATACTAAAATTTGTATTAATAAAAATGGGCTCGCTTAAGTCAGTTGGTTCCGAACTATAATTGCTGTTGCTATTGTGTAGATTATGGATGAATCATATGCTACACAATAGCAATGTCCTCTAGTGTGGTCTGGAGGTGGTTCAACCGAAGCCCGGGTAGCGCAAAAAACTGACTTGTATGTGCGTTTGAATTGGTCAAGGGATTGCCATATTAGGAAATGTCATACTTGCTAGAACATTGTGTTAATGTCAATATTTAAAATCGAGAAATTAGTTAACAACTAAGGTCATTAAAATGTTTGCCTTTATACGTTACAGAGAGGAAGTGAAGGTCATTCAGAAGTATAAGGATTGATAACAGAAACAGTTGTAGAATCATGGTTGTACATGATTGGTTGTAGAAACAATTTCTACAACCATGATTCTCCAACTTATAAAACTTATAAAACTGTGTTAGGTTTTAGAATAAATATGCTATTTAATTTATACGGTGATGTGTAATAAATTCATTTATGCAAGTGCATTCCTGGTTTCCTTTTTACATAATTATTGCCAAGTCACAAGGGATTGACAATACATATTACAATCAGGGTTGCAGAAATCTCATCTCACCTTCACAAATCTCATCTCAGTGAGATATAATGAGAAATATGAGATATAGTGAGATTTGTGAGCCATCCACTGGCGCCACCTAGCGGACGGGGTCATGAACTATAAGTTTAGCTCATTATATCTAATATTTCTCACAAAACCCCAACTGAGATGATTGATATAAATCATTAAATCTCACTAAATCTCACTAGGTGATATATACCACTTGCAACCCTGATTACAATCACGCAAATAGTCACATGAAGATTCACTAAATTTAAGCTTCTACAATTATTCCATTCGTAGTGTTCATCACACTTGTGCAGGTATGTACATATGTAAAAGTAGTAATTTTCTGAAAAAATTTTACAAAATGCAAACCTTAATTATTATGTATGTCCCACAATCTTTTTATCGAAATTTTCGTTATAATCGAATTATCGTAATAATTTATTTACATACCAGGTGCAAACTTTATTCGCTATTTATTAAGGGGTGAAAACCCCTTTATGGGAATGTCTTGTCTGTCCGTCCGTCCGTATCCACGATAACTTTAGAACGGATGCGAATATCGAGATGCGGTTTTCGCCAAAGTATTTCTAATTTTTGAAGTATGGATGAGTTCGAAGATGGGCATTGTAGGCATTAAGGTCACGGCGCCATGGCGACGACGCCGTGTCGAATAGGTGTCGAATTTTTTGTTTCGACGGTTTTAGACGTATTTTGGGACGGGGATTTCGAAAATCGACATGGTTTTGACGTACGATGACCGTGTGACCGTGTAGACGACGCCACATGTCGAAAATGTCGAGATTTTTTGTGTTGACCGTTTTAGACGTATTTTGGGGCGGGGATTTCAAAAATCGACATCATTTTGACGTACGATGACCGTGTGACCGTGTAGACGACGCCATGTCGACAAACTGAATTATGTCATGTGAGGTGTCTATCGAAAGGCATAGTCGTGTACGTTCAAAGTACGCGGGAGTTATGTCGACACGGGGCGAAATGAGACGTGGTATAATGTGAGACAATTAGGGAAATTTACGGGAAAGTATTGGAAGACGATGTGGGTGTGCCATAAGGACATTTACGTGTGTTTTCACCCCTTTGCGACATTTCGTTTGCAACGGTTTATTTGTATGCATTTTATTTTGTCTTTTGGTTTCGTTGATTTTATTTATTTAAATCAGTCGTTTTGAAATTGATATTTAAAAAAAAACAATGTTTAATTTGAACAAGTTTAAACTTTATTAAACATTTTGTAACCATTAACAGAATTTAGCAATCGATAATTTAATATGCAGTCTAAAATGTTAAAAAATCAATCCCGTTTTTAGAAATTCGGTACTAATCATCGCTGTCCTCCTCCTCATCCGTCGTGTCGCCCGCAATTAGGTGAAACTTGGCCGCAGACAGGTCACTCGACGCCATGAAATCGCGCATAATTTTCTCCGATTTGCTGGAAAACTGTGGATAAAACAGGTCCAAAATTACATTAAGCATAATAATTTATCTTATTACATGGCCTAAACTCACGTAAAGCTCGGCGATCGTGACCTCGTCCATTCCATCCATCGCGAGGAGGAGTTTCTTAAAAAGGTCGGTCTCCTTCTCGGATAAATCGCGGTAGGAGTGAATCCCATCGTGTGTCAGGAATTGTAAGGTTTTAAGGCCTGTAAATAATTTTTTGAAAAATTAAGAAATTAAAAACACAAAATGTTAACAATTTACAAATTTTCATGAATGACGGACTCTCGCTAATGGTATACATTGACTGTAACTCTATTTTTTAATTTAAAAATAAGTACCCGAAATGGATTCACATCCCGGCAAAAAAAATCGGAAAAATAATTTTTAGTCAAATTGCCCCACCCCCTCGCCCCCAGACGCCCCCAAAGGACCCCTGCGCTGGGTCAGCTTTTTCTCGGCCCCCAAAAGAGATAACTTGACCAAACTTGGCATGGGCCTCTCATATGAGGTCGTTCTTACTGACATGAAGTAATTCACCCCCTAGGTCAAAATCTATAATGCCCTTGACCTGAAAATTTTGGCCCTTTTTTTCGTTTTTTCTATATATTGTTCGTGTTTATGAAATGTTATCTATCCCTCTTCAAAACCCTACAGAAACCCTATATTCTGCGTCCAATGCCGGTGGTCCGGACCTCCTAGCTCAAAAACGAAGGGTACTTTGTAGGAAGACCGACTTTGGTCGAAATTGCGACAAAGTGCCCTTAATGCTAACTTTCTTAATGACCGCTGGTTCGATTTGCTTCAAATTTTGGTATGTTATTGGCCCTTAGTAGCCGAACGTAGTTAAATTACCGTAATGTCGAAATCGACCTGCGTGACCTTGTTTCAGAGGTCAGGGGTACTAACTGGGAGAAAAAGTCTCACATAACCCCACATATGGGGTATCGTTGGAAAGGTCTTGATGAGAGGATTAAGAATATGTATACTTTGTGGGGTCCTGGATCACCCCTCGTAGTCCAGGGGCAGAGAGACAAGAAATCTCGATTCTCCAGAATTTAACACAGCCGTAGATTGCAGGCTAATAGGACAAATATACAGAGAAACTCAAAAATATTCTTCTGCCCCTGGAGCACGAGGGGGTGATCCAAGACCCCACAAAGTATACATATTCTTAATCCTCTCATCAAGACCTTTCCAACGATACCCCATATGTGGGGTTATGTGAGACTTTTTCTCCCAGTTAGTACCCCTGACCTCTGAAACAAGGTCACGCAGGTCGATTTCGACATTACGGTAATTTAACTACGTTCGGCTACTAAGGGCCAATAACATACCAAAATTTGAAGCAAATCGAACCAGCGGTCATTAAGAAAGTTAGCATTAAGGGCACTTTGTCGCAATTTCGACCAAAGTCGGTCTTCCTACAAAGTACCCTTCGTTTTTGAGCTAGGAGGTCCGGACCACCGGCATTGGACGCAGAATATAGGGTTTCTGTAGGGTTTTGAAGAGGGATAGATAACATTTCATAAACACGAACAATATATAGAAAAAACGAAAAAAAGGGCAAAAATTTTCAGGTCAAGGGCATTATAAATTTTGACCTAGGGGGTTAATTACTTCATGTCAGTAAGAACGACCTCATATAAGAGGCCCATGCCAAGCTTGGTCAAGTTATCTCTTTTGGGGGCCGAGAAAAAACTGACCCAGCGCAGGGGTCCTTTGGGGGCGTCTGGGGGCGAAGGGGTGGGGCAATTTGACTAAAAATTATTTTTCCGATTTTTTTTGCCGGGATGTGAATCCATTTCGGGTACTTATTTTTAAATTAAAAAATACAGTTACAGTCAATGTATACCATTAGCGAGAGCCCATCATTTTAGATTTGAATTAAAATGTTAAGTTAACGAAATTTTGAACTTACTCTTACGAGAACAAGGAGGTCAAGGGGTTAGCGTTGCCATTTTTAAGCGAATTATAGAGTTTTTCATAGATCTAATTATGTAACATAATGAAAACCTTAATTTATGTACTACATAATTTATGTACTACTTTCCGTATACATTTCGTTTATATAATTAAAGTACATAATTCAGAAAAATAAAGAGTTTCATTAATTGTTTATAAATTCCAATGTCTTTTAGCTCAAAACTCAAATATATTAAATTTTATTTAATTAATTAAACTAGAATCAACATGTTGACCCATGTGAGGCGGAACTGTGCCAAGGCGCGCGAGACCGGGCTCGACGTCAAGTTCTTGACCGAACAGAAAGCCAAGGCTGAAAACAAGAGTGGAAAAAGTGTCGTGATTCCGGACGGTGTAGAATGTCCAGTCTGTGGCAAAAAATTTAGATATATTCGCAAGTTGGTGGACCATCAAGCAACCCATGGCACGGGAAAGTGGACCTGTGAAATTTGTGGGGTTGGATTTCGACACAAGGGAACCGTGGAAACCCATCGGAGAGAATTTCACCCGGAAGTGTTGCCCGTCGAGTGTCCCGATTGTGGGAAACGATATAGGCTCGAGTATGTCATGAGAAAACATCGAAGACTTGTTCATGGGGTGAAAGATGAGGAAAGGAAGTTGGCTCCGATTACTACTGGGGATGAGGGAAAGGGGGGAGTCCTTTGTGGAACAGTGGTATGTGAGGAAGTTGAGATTTTAGTGGAAAGCTGTAACGACTATGATGTGAAAGATATGGACCCATTAAAATTTTAGTGGTTGATTTAAATTTTCACACGTGATGTTACGTCGTTTATTGCCCGCAAATTTTGTATTTATATGCCAATAAGAATTTGTATCGAGTTTGCCGAAATAAATTGACTTGAAATAAACGAAACCCTGAAAACCTTGTAATAAACCAATTACCAGGTTACCTTGAAATAAACGAAACCTACGAAAACCTGATTGGGCAAATTTAGTGCATGGATTCCCCTTGATTTTACCATATTTGATCCAACGGAGACTGGAAATTATGCCGAGTACGACCCAGACATCGAACCATTCCCTGTCCGACGCTCCATCAAAATAATTAGTTACCAATTTGAAACATTGTTTAGTTTTTCCGCTACGAATAAATTTCCTTTTCGCGCTGTGCTTCGTGCCCTTATAAATTCCGCGCCAAACGTGCAAAAATTAACCATCATGGATAACTTCTACCCCAGCCTGGAAAACTGTGGGAAGCTCGAGTCTCTAAAGTTCGTGGGTTCCAAAATCACGGTAAAACCTCTCGTGTCGTCCGACTCAGCATTACGTTCTATTTATATTCAGGTGCACTTGTAGGCGGGTTTTGAATTTAAATTTCTGTGTCCCATCTTGCGTGTATTCAAATGGCGATTTTGAAACGTATTCAGCCATGTGCGTTTTTAAGAAGAGTAACAATAATTTGAACCGGAATTTATTACGACAAAAAAAATTGATTTCGATCAGTTTAACAGTGTTTGTAGAGCTGATTTTTCTGAGACCGAAGGGGGCGGTCTCCTCCTCCCCCAGTGGGAGGAGCTCAAAGTTATAAAAAATCGCTCCTTCCGTCTGCGATTTTTAGCTTAAAGAGGGATCAATATTTTTTAATGCGGTTTTCGCCAAACGTTGCCTAATTTTTTCCCCTATAACAGTTTTCGAGCGTTTTTTGAAATTCTCAGACATATTTTTCCAATGTGAGACTAAAGGTAGCGAAAGGTCAAGTCTCACATAACCCTACAAGTGATACACCGTTGGGAAGGTCTATCCTCGGCGCGAGGATTCAAAAAATTTATACTTTGTCTTGTGTATGATCACTCTCGTATGCTCCAGAGACGGATAAATGATTTAAGTTCTATCCCATCTATTGCTATGTTGGTCCCCAATCTAATGTTGTGTTAAAGTCGGAAAGGTGGAAAATTCGCGAAATCGTGAAATTCGTTTTGAGAACTTCAAAAAACGCTCGAAAACGGTTGTAGACAACAAAATTAGGGAACTTTTGGTGAAAACCGTATTCAAAAATATTTACCCGTCTAGGACGTAAAAATCGCTGACGAAGCGATTTTTTTCCAACTTTGGGCTCCTCCCACCCGGAAAGTGGGCAGAGTTGAGACGCGAGACTGACACCGTCGGTCTCAGAAAAATCAGGTCTACAAACACGGCGAACCTGATCCAAATCAAATTTTTGTGTCTTAAAACATTCCGGTTGAAATTATTGTTACTCAGAAAGAAAGAATCGATAATTTTTACTTTGAGTATCTTACGAGATATAGAGGTTAAAATTTTGATTTTTCTCTTCTCTGCGAAATTAGAAGTAAAATAACTTTAAAAAGTAAGTAAAATTATAATTTCTAACCGCATTTATGAAGCTCAGAAAATTATAGATTTTTACGATGCTTCTGCTTTGTAAAAGTGCTGAATCGGTTTCAAAATCATCATTTGAACAAGTTGGCAAACAAAAATTTAAATTCCAACCACTTTCTTCTTTTAAAGGATGAAACATTCGAGGAAGGCAAATTGCTCGGGATGATTGTCCAAGTACAAGACAAGATTTGTGATTTAGTCATTGGCACAGGACAAGATCGGGACTATTATGTGGGTCCGATTCCTGTCACGGGATCATTTCGGCTCCCATATCTCCCAAATTTAGAAAGTTTAGTAATTGATGGAATCCAATCATTTAACAAAATTGGACCCGATTTGAATTCAAGGTTACTACCAAAACTGAAATGTATCTCACTCCTGGAAAAAAATGAAGGAGCACCCGTAACGATGGAAGAATTCTTGTCGAGCATAAATCCTTCGCACAGAATTGTGGAAAAATTGCGTCTACAATTCATAAAGAACGTTAGTTCACCCGCGATACGGAGGATGGGCAGGTTGTGGCCGAATGTGACGCAACTTACGGTGTACATCAAGCCAAGTAGATTTCCATTTGATGAGAATTTCAGTATCCCGGACATAATTCAGCCGTTTTTCTCCTGTTGGGAAAAACTTGGCCAGTTTCACGCTGAAATTCAAGTTGGACGTCACTCCGCGCGACATTATACGGCAGCTATAAAAAGTTTAGCGGGATTTTTAGGTTGGACTATTTGAACTATTTTTAGCTAAATTTTGGCCGAATTTGATTTAATTATGGACTCATATAGGCATCAAGTCTATGGTGGTTGGGTTCCCGTTATCACCTGGCGTAAGCACATTAGATCGAATTACCGACTGGAATTTCCTCATCTTGACAAAGGAGCTTAAGTCATTTACATTTCAAAGGATTGGGGTTTGACTAGACAAAAAATATATATTGGCAAATTAGTGGGAAACTCACAAAAATATTTTTTACATTTTAGTTTGACATCCCCAACATGGAGGCAATAATTCGGTTGAAAGAGTCTCATCAGCTTCCAATACGGTTTAAGGAATGTTGCTGTTCAAGAATGGGGGCGAGTTGGGTGACCACTTTACAAATCCCGTTGGATACGTACGACATAGACTTTTGAGATTTTTGCATGTAACCGAGTTGTTTGTGTTCATTCCGGAAGGAAGAAATTTTATGAGAGAAATGTGCGAGATATGCACTTAGCTTTGTAATATGTATAGATTTGGAATTATTTGTCCACTCATTGTATAGTTTATTGTGCTGTGGTAAATAAGTAACTGGAAAATGGGATCTCTATCTGAAGAGTGAAGAAATTTTTCTTGTACACAGAAATAAAAGTTCGAGCTGAATAAATAAGTTCTTAATAGGAACCTATTCAGTACTAAATAATAATTAATCGGATCAAAATTTTTTCATAAACACAGTTTCATTTCATGTAAATATAGAAAATACAAAATGTGATTTTTAAAGCACGACTGTATGTTTGTTTAAGTGACACTAACAATGCGATGGTGTGAAGTGCAACTCTCCGATGTGGTTGAAATTTTGGAATTGAGTGGTCCAAGTCAATACAACTAACGTTTCTTGAGGCAGTTTGTGCGATGGTTGGGATTTGTCGCAATATTTGAGGTCGAAATTGAAAAACGGAGGATTTTTTCCTTTTGAAAACTATGGACGTGGAGTTTGCCTCCTTCGCTTGGTAAAAATCGCCCGTTTTTCAACTTTGATCTCAAATATTGCGACAAATCCCAACCATCGCACAAACTGCCTCAAGAAACGTTGGTTGTATTGACTTGGACCACTCAATTCCAAAATTTCAACCACATCGGAGAGTTGCACTTCACACCATCGCATTGTAAGTGCGCTGATAACTTGTGCCCATGTATATACGGTGGTGGTCGTGACGAATGGGTTGGCGTTGGGGTCAGGAATAGTCACTTAAGGATGGTTTATTTGTCGCACAATTTCATAATAATAAGTAGTTTTTAAAGAGTTCATTCAAGGGCGACAACCGGCGCCCCCTGACACCTGGCGCCCTGGACAATTGCCCTGCTTGCCAACCCCTAGTTTAGGGCCTGACTGTGAGATTTCATTCCATAAATAACTACGTCATTAAGTTTGTAACAAATTTGTAACCAGAAGGACACCGGAGAGTAACAGGGATGCCTTTGATTGCTTCCGTGGTGTCGGAGTTGGCAGCGTCGTTGCTCCGTTCCAGGAAAGAAATTGGGTGTAGAAAGCGTTAGAGATGGTATTGAATCGTTGGAAGGCGTCGAAAGGGGTGTGACTTGGGATTTGCATAGTTCTGCATTTTTTCTAATACCGTTTTAAATACGACCACGCCCTTTGGGGAAGTTTGAAGTAGAACATTTTATCCAACTTCTGGATAAAATTGGTGAACACAGTGTTACCAAAACTGGTCTTGGATCATTACTGACTAAACTGTTTTACCATACACGTAGCAAACGTTATGAACCAGTATAATTAAAATACCAAGAGGTAGCATGTTTCATGCAAAGAAATCAATACTTCCTGCAAAAAATACAGGATTCCTAAAAATGTTTAAAATAAGATTGTTAATTTGAAAACCTTTGTATTTCCCCAATTTTCCACAACTATAAGAATTTTGAAATGTATTTTATTCTAATTTTCGACCCAGTATTAAAGAATGTAGACTACATGCGTTTAGCAATGTGATTAAAGTGTGATTGTGATTAAAATGTTTAATTCTTTCGGATTTTTCATTAAACTGGATAGGAAATTGGGTTTGATAAATAAGACTCGATCGATGCGCAACTACAAACTGAAAAATTGCAGAGTATACATATTATTTTTCTTATTTTCCTCTAGGAGATTATGCCCAATAATTTGTATTTACGACGTAGTCAAACACGTAGTCTTTAGAAAGTAGTCAGATATGCAAAGAAAAATAATTGCGATTTCGCTATTGAAGGGAGCCACGTCCACTCTGCTCGCCCCCAATATTTCGGGAACCGGCGAGAAGAGGATTGGCCAAAATGAAGCCTGCGTACTCCACTAAGTGGAGAAGAAACGGAGAAGACGCGACCCCAAAACTCCCCATCCTAAAAAAGAAGAACTCACTCTCTCCTCGGCTACAGCCACATCGATACAAATTTCGGAGTCGTCTCTTCATCAAAAGTTTCCGGACGCCCTCTGCGTCCCCTCATTCCTCCGAGAGTCAAAATTATTACATTAGATATTTTCGAGTACAATCATAGATTATTAAGTAAGACATTTTCTAAAGTAAAGTTTGTCACATTGGTGCGCTACGCTAATAAATATTAAAGTTACATGTCAAAAGGACAACTTTCGTGGTGTAGAAATAATTTGTGAGAGCTACAGAGATCATCCTATTTTGTGAAAGACCGTGCATAGAACCGGGGGTGCATAAGTGAGTCACTTATATAAAAACTCTGGAGCCGAAGTGTCGCCGAAACGCCTTTTCGCCAAGCAGCCCTACCCTTTGAACTCGACCCCTGTGGGAGTTGCCGTCGTGGTGGTACCTCGCGGAAATCCATCCCCCACACTATACAATCACTCTAAAAAACCTGGCATGAATTCTTTACTGGCCGAAGTACCTTTATTTCTGATTCTAATAATGAGCATTACCGCAATAATGAGCATTCTAATAATGAGCATTAATGAGCATCAAAGTCATGCTGTGATGATGAAGACATTTCTATTTCTATGTTTTACGAATCGGGTGGGAAGTTATGACCAAACCAAAGCAAGCACGGAGTCGCTACTCTGTCATATTTTTAACCGTGTACGGATAAATAAATTCAGGCAAAAAACTTACTTCTATCACAAAATAACAACGGACCCAATCCAATCTTTTATTGGTATCGATTTGCAAGTAACGAATATTGTAATTTTTTTATAATTGCTCTCCAAGTTGCATAAAATATTTTCAAAGTAAATCATATATCATGCACATGCCATGATTGGTGTAAGGTGGGAATTTTTGAGTATTACTCAACAAAATTCTCATCCAACCCTTGTTAAACAAGGGTTGAATGAGAATTTTCGGATGTAAATCGACATGAAATCATTTTATTAAATACGTGGGAGGAAAAACGGCTCCTTAATCATTACATAAAAATTTAGACCGTAAAACACTGGTGACGATTTGTGTCCAAATTATTCAGAGTGGAATTTTTTTTTGGACGTCCAATGAACCGGCATGGACTCCGATGACTTAAGCCTTTCAGCGCATTCATAAATTTTATAAACCTTGTCGACCATTCGCTTGCACTTCTTTGTCATTATTCCTGCCAGTCGGTGTACCATTTTATGGTGAACTCGACCACCCTGGGATTTATTCGGATTTTTATCAGAAATAGAAAAATGTCGGATCTATTTTTCTAACTCAACTGTAGCTGAGCAATTGCAATTTGCAACACCACATTTTGGAGATCTGTGATTTTGGCGCACTGTGTTACAAAAAAATTGTAACGTGATTTCTAATAATTCTAATTTCTTGAAGATTTCAAAAAATATATACTAAAACTTACCAAAAAAATTGTTACTTCTTTAATTTATCAGATAGGGTATGGTCGGAAAAGACAGAAAATTATTGAAAACGCATTTATTTACATAGAAAAATGTCATTGAGTTGGAAAGAAGTAGTTATGTAGTCCATACGATTGGCAAGAAACATCGGAAATAAAAAGTCAATATCTCAAACCGTTCAAAAATGAGAACACAAAATTCAGAACAACTCGCAAAAAGTATTTGCCACTACGAAAATGTGTGCGGACGCGTGCGGAAAAAGATTTCTGACCACTTCAAAAGTGAAAAAATTTGTCCGGGGTCAATTTGCATAATTTTAGATATGTATGAGGAAGGGGGGAGTGCTAAAAATAAAAAAATAAAATGGCCGCCCTGCTCTTGTGATGACCCCCAAAGTGATACGTAAAGATCAGAAGGAATTCAAAAAAGATCCTGGAGTATCTGAGCGAAATTTGATTAACAAATTGAAAATTGCTCAATCAACTTTGCATGACATTAAAGCAAAGAAGTTGGGACTCAAGTCTTATAAGGCCATCTCTGCACCGAAATACAACCAAGGTCAAGAAAACGGAGCCAAGATCAATTCTCGGAAGATTGCTGAAAAAGAGTAGCGCAAAACACGCCCGTCATTAACGAAACCTACTGTCCGATTGATTAAAATGAGGTACCTGGGATAAAGTACTACTCATGCACTAATAACAAAACAGGTCAAGATTCATTTAAATACAAACCCAATTCCAATATTCCACTCGGCGATAAACGATTTAACATGCAATTCAGATAGGACAAGTGAACAATCCCCAGACATTCCACCCACATAGGACCGATTGACAGATTTTGGGGTTTATGCAAGAAAGAATATAGTAGACGAACAAAAGCAGCAAAAAATTTGAGAGGATTCCGACAGATATGGACATATATCTCAAAAAAGGTAGCAGAAAAGAGTGGCAAAGAACTTATGTATAGGGAGGGCGCGATAAAAAATTCGCCAGATAAAAAGAATGGGGGTCTATGGTCCATACGAACCTTACATATGGACCTTACGAAGCAAAAAATAAATAGCTTAATCCTTAACTTATAATTTGTGAAAATTATTTAAAATTAATTAAATTATTGCCGGTTTTACAGGAATTTTCAAAAATTTTCTTTCTTTTCTGACCATACCCTATTTTACCAAATTTCTTGATCTTGTATATGTAATTGTACATAGTTGCATTTTTGTAATTTTCCTGATAAAATTGCTGCCAGATAAATTTAGACTTGATCACTTGATGATTTAACCTGAGAAACACGTTATGCAAAGTTGTCACTTTGATTTCGATTTAAATAACTTTTAGAGACTTTTCAGTTCTACCTTGGGTAGAACTAAAATTAGCAAATTATATTTTTTGGAAGATCCAGATTTTGCCTAAATAAACTTTAAAATATTTTTTTTTAATCTCGCAGCCCTGCAACATTTTATACACCAGTTCCATCCGCTACACGCAATTCCCTACAGTCTCTCTTTACAGTCTCTCTTTGGAACCATGTAAATCAGTTAACGGGTTTTCGTAACAAAGAACGTGAAAATATTTGTAAACCTATTGATCCTGTACATGGGGTACCTGTAACTTCCTCTGATGATATCAACCATGTCTTAGCTAGACAGTTTGTTATCAAGTCTGATAGATTAATCCCGGAGTCTACTTTAAGGGAGAATATGGTGAAATATTTTTCTGAGGAAAGTGAAAGTGAGTTCCCTGTAGTTAACGTTAAGGAGGTTGAGAAAGCGATCATGGATAACGCAAAAGATAGCCCCTCTGATTTATTTGTTCCACTTAAAGTTATCAAACGTTGTAAGGAGACTGTAGCGATACATTTAACAATATTTTTTAGTATGCTATTTAATCTTAGTGTAGTCCCACAGTCGTTTCGTTCAACTGTAGTCGTACCTATTTATAAAGGCAAAGGAAAGAAGTTGTGTCCATCTAGTTATCGTCCAATTTCCATGATTAATGTTTATTGCAAGATTTTTGAGAGACTATTGTACACACGTTTATGTTATAGGATTGACGCCAAATTGTGTAATCAGCAGCACGGTTGTAGGAAAAAGCGCTCTTGCCAAACTGCGCTTGCTGAATTTACGAACTATATCTACGCTGTCCTTGATAAGAAGAACGGGTATTGTGTGGCAATTTATTATGATGCTCGTTCTGCGTTTGATAGTTTGGATAGATCTATACTTATTAATAAGCTAATGCAACAGTTTAATTTACACCCGAATTATGTAAGTATATTATATAACTATATGAATCAAAGAGTATTTAAATTTAAAGAAGGTGATAAGTACTTTGATAACCCCACGGGCGTGGTTCAGGGGGCAGCTGGGAGTGGTTTGTATTATTCTGCATACCAGAATGACATATGCGAAGTCATTACTATTCCATTTCTTCTTTATGTAGATGATTTGGTTATTTATCTAGCTGGTAATGATCTTGATGTACTAATGAAAGCAATTACTGAGCAAGCAGCAATCGTTCAAAACTGGTACAACGTGAATAACCTTAGAATTAATTATTCCAAAACTAAATTCCAAATTTTTAGTAAGCCGCGATGTCCTGTCCCCCCCCCCTCTTACTATAACCCGATTGTTTTAAGTAATGGTGAATCAATTGAGTGTGTAACCGTTTTCAAGTACCTTGGAGTGCACGTAGATTCCAGTTTAAGTTTTAGTGATCACTACAATTACGTCACAAAGAAGGTTTCCAATAAACTAGGGTTTTTACATGGCGTTAAGCGTCATCTCACTAATAAGGTTATGGCAATAATGGTTAACAGCCATATTCACTCAGTTATGGATTTTTGCCTTGACATTTGGGCAATTCAAACTGACGCTCAATTGGATGCAATACAACAGAAGGTTAATTCTTTTTTAGTAAAATTTTTGTATCCCTCTTTGGTAAAAAAGTTTCGTACTCGGAAACACACGCGTTTCAAGTTAAATGAGCAATCAATTGATGTTAATGATTTATTAGTACAATTTAATCTCCTGTCTATTAAAGAACGGCGTGACTTATTTTTGTATAAATTTGCGTTTAAAAAACTTTTGAACACGGTTAGTTCGTCGGCTGAGAGGCGTACTTGGCCTTTGTTATCTGTCCCGTCTTTCACTTATGCGCAAAAATCGATACACTACAGAGCAGTTAAACTTTGGAACAAATTGCCGAGGGATTGGGACCCCAAAATGGGGTATAATAAATTTGTACAATCATGTCGTGAATTATTAATCAATAGGCGATCGGAGTATTATTATTATTTTTGACGTGCGAGTTATGACAATGTAGTTAGATATTTAGTTGTTATTTTTGCTCTTTTATATAGTTATAGCATATTGTGTCATGGTTTGTAAACCAGTTATTGTTAACTGATATCCATTTACACGTGAATAAAAGATGAAATGAAATGAAAAATCCCTAGTATTGCCAGATAATTCCAAAAGACTCAATTGGCAGCAAAATAGCAAATTTTATTCATCACTCAACAATTAACCATTTTTTTAAATTCTAAGCGAATATTTTATTCAAGTACATAATATTTAAAGTATTTAGATGGCCTAGGAGCATTATACCCATTGTTGGGGTAGGTCGGTTAGGGCTTTTTTTAACCCAGGGTTTTTAAAAATGGTTTTTTATATTTTCAGGCTAATAATTTAGAGCAAAAATTGCGCTTAATGTTTGAAATCGAGCTAAAATCAAAAAGTGACAGCGTTTTCAAAAATCCAGATTTTCAATGATTTTTTAAAAATTCCACGGGACATGCCATGGACGAAATAGTGTCCGTTCTGGAAAACGCTACAGTACGAGTGGGCTTATTCTAAAAAGGTGAATAATTTAAAACAGGCCCGGTCAAGATCCGAGATAACCACCTTACACTTCTAGTAGCTACCGCCGCTGGTCGGGCTATCTCTATTAATGAATAGTCTGGTCACCCCACAAAGTACACACACCTCTCCATTGTTAGTCAACTACATATGACTTTACTTTTATTGGGACTATGTAACTGTAAATTTTCTAAATAACTGGCAAATGGAAATTGGCTTAGGTATTTATCTGTTTATAGAGAGAAAACACTTATCCGAAAATGAAAACGTAGATTATAATATATGCATATAATTCCTTGGTTTTGTTGTATAATATCCCACTAAATAAAATTGATTGAAAACATTACTAATAATTATCAATGTATCTAGACAGGAGTAATTTGGATGGCCTACCAATCATAAGTATTTTATCTCAAGCTGTAAATTTTATCGGTTTAAATTTTTGTTTTAATCGTTGCTAAAATATGATAGAACGACATCAACTTTCCGTACCCAAGTTTCTCCAAGTCAACCTGCCTTGCCGGATTCCGGCCTCTCTCTTTTGCAATATCATTGTGGAGATTTAAGTAAAACCATTTCATCAAATCGTTAAATTCAGTTTTGCTGTGGGCATCAAAACTCCAGTTTTTAAAATCTGAATGCATTTTAGCCTTCCCCCAATTCATCCCTGATTCCCTATGTTCACCCCAGTATACGGACCATTGATCTGTGAGTGCGTCACATGTTAGAGAGGACAAATGGTTAAGATTTTTATCACCAACGCCAATTAATCCTCTTGGTTGATGACATGCGTGATGTTTCTTCGTGCTGTCTTCATTTTCGTCGTGCCCAGCCTGACCCCAGCATAGACTTCCACACCAAAAACAATGTTCCGTACATCCCATCAGCTTGGTTTGGTTAGGTTAGGTTAGGTTAGGTTAGGTTAGGGTAGGGTAGGTTAGGTTAGGTTAGGTTAGGTTAGGTTAGGTTAGGTTAGGTTAGGTTAGGTTAGGTTAGGTTAGGTTAGGTTAGGTTAGGTTAGGTTAGGGTTAGGTTTAGGTTAGGTTAGGTTAGGTTTAGGTTAGAGGTTAGGGTTAGGTTAGGGGTTAGGTTAGGTTAGGTTAGGTTAGGTTAGGTTAGGTTAGGTTAGGTTAGGTTTAGGTTAGGTTAGGTTTAGGTTAGGTTTAGGTTAGGTTAGGGTTAGGTTAGGTTAGGTTTAGGTTAGGTTAGGTTAGGGTTAGGTTTAGGTTAGGTTAGGTTAGGTTTAGGTTAGGTTAGGTTAGGTTAGGTTAGGTTTAGGTTAGGTTTAGGTTAGGTTAGGTTAGGTTAGGTTAGGTTTAGGTTAGGTTAGGTTAGGTTAGGTATTAGGTTAGGTTTAGGTTAGGTTAGGTTAGGTTAGGTTAGGTTAGGTTAGGTTAGGTTAGGTTAGGTTAGGTTAGGTTAGGTTAGGTTAGGTTAGGTTAGGTTAGGTTTAGGTTAGGTTAGGTTAGGGTTAGGTTAGGTTAGGTTAGGTTAGGTTAGGTTAGGTTAGGTTTAGGTTTAGGTTAGGTTAAGGTTAGTTAGGTTTAGGTTAGGTTAGGTTTGGTTAGGTTAGGTTAGGTTAGGTTAGGTTAGGTTAGGTTAGGTTAGGTTAGGTTTAGGTTAGGTTAGGTTAGTGTTAGGTTAGGTTTAGGTTAGGTTAGGTTAGGTTAGGTTAGGTTAGGTTAGGTAGGTTAGGTTAGGTTAGGGGGTTAGGTTAGGTTAGGTTAGGTTTAGGTTTAGGTTAGGTTATAGGTTAGGTTTAGGTTAGGTTAGGTTTAGGTTAGGTTAGGTTATTAGGTTAGGTTAGGTTAGGTTAGGTTAGGTTAGGTTAGGTTAGGTTAGGTTAGGTTAGGTTAGGTTAGGTTAGGTTAGGTTAGGTTAGGTTAGGTTAGGTTAGGTTAGGTTAGGTTAGGTTAGGTTAGGTTAGGTTAGGTTAGGTTAGGTTAGGTTAGGTTAGGGGGGGGTTAGGTTAGGGGTTAGGTTAGGTATTAGGTTAGTTAGGTTAGGTTTTATTAGGTTAGGTTAGGTTATTAGGTTAGGTTAGGTTAGGTTAGGTTAGGTTAGGTTAGGTTAGGTTAGGTTAGGTTAGGTTAGGTTAGGTTAGGTTAGGTTAGGTTAGGTTAGGTTAGGTTAGGTTAGGTTAGGTTAGGTTAGGTTAGGTTAGTTAGGTTAGGTTAGGTTAGGTTAGGTTGGTTAGGTTAGGTTTAGGTTAGGTTAGGTTAGGTTAGGTTAGGTTAGGTTAGGTTAGGTTAGGTTAGGTTAGGTTAGGTTAGGTTAGGTTAGGTAAGGTTAGGTTAGGTTAGGTTAGGTTAGGTTAGGTTAGGTTAGGTTAGGTTAGGTTAGGTTAGGTTAGGTTAGGTTAGGTTAGGTTAGGTTAGGTTAGGTTAGGTTAGGTTAGGTTAGGTTAGGTTAGGTTAGGTTAGGTTAGGTTAGGTTAGGTTAGGTTAGGTTAGGTTAGGTTAGGTTAGGTTAGGTTAGGTTAGGTTAGGTAGGTTAGGTTAGGTTAGTTAGGTTAGGTTAGGTTAGGTTAGGTTAGGTTAGGTTAGGTTAGGTTAGGTTAGGTTAGGTTAGGTTAGGTTAGGTTAGGTTAGGTTAGGTTAGGTTAGG